ATGACTCCAGTGAAATTAATTTACTTACTCAGTTTTATGTCAAACCTAGATATTTAGGCTAAATACTAAAAAGTTCATATTAGAGGTTTTGCACATGTAAATAGGTAATTGGTTCTGTAGCCAGTACTGCAAGTAATGTAATTCGTATCATAACTGCAAATTCACCTGTAATTTAAATGACTGCCAAGCAAGATTGTCTCCTCTGCAGATTGTTTTTGCAGAGAAGAAATAATTACCACAAATGAGGAACAGCAATGGCTACCTGGATATCCATCACAAATATCATATGCGTCTTCGCTTCACACTAAATGTGGAACTTTATTCAGTTGCACCATCTGCTTTAATGTAAGTCAGTTTATTGAATAGATATTGAAAGTTAGGGAGAGAAAGCCATAACCAACTTTGATGTGAAAATATTCTTACATACAGTAACGGTCAAAAAACAAACACTGTGCATCAGCAGGAAACTCAAAATAAGCACTGACTGCAGGGATATCATGTAATGAGTGTGTCATCAGCATTTTTTAATGCAGATGAAACACGTTTGTATGTGTTAAAAACAAAAAACATACAAAGAACACAACATATTCAGCATAACATGTCCTGGGGAACAAGGTTCAGAGTTCTATTAGCAGCCTTTTGCCTTTTGTCTTGTGACAAGGTCACATCTTCCTTTTCATCAAATACACAAGGGTGCATTCAAACACACACACACACATGCTTGGGGAATCTGACCCAATTCTCAGTGGGCTTGAATATGACATGATAGCTCAGAGCAGAATTAGCTGTGCTCTACTGGCGCCACATAGTATGTGTGTGTATGTTTATGGTCTGTGGGGTGTGGGCTGTGTGCATCAGTGGCCCTGGAGCATAAAGAGGTACTACTGACAGGACTGTCATAAGGCTGTGGCAGAAGAAACAAACATTAATGTGCACACGCAGTTTCAAAGCACAGCTAGATTGAATTAATGATACTATATGCTGTGTGCTTTCTGTCCCTCACGTTGTTCTCTCTCCCTCTTCCTCTGTCTGT